GGCCAGGAATGGTCTGCCTGACCATGTCAAGGCCAGGAACAGGCTGCCTGACCATGTCAAGGTCAGGAACAGGCTGCCTGACCATGTCAAGGCCAGGAACAGGCTGCCTGACCATGTCAAGGCCAGGAACAGGCTGCCTGACCATGTCAAGGCCAGGAATGGGCTGCCTGACCATGTCAAGGCCAGGAATGGACTGCCTGACCATGTCAAGGCCAGGAATGGACTGCCTGACCATGTCAAGGCCAGGAATGGTCTGCCTGACCATGTCAAGGCCAGGAACAGGCTGCTTGACCATGTCAAGGCCAGGAACAGCTGCCAAGGCCAGGAACAGGCTGCCTGACCATGTCAAGGCCAGGAACAGGCTGCCTGACCATGTCAAGGCCAGGAACAGGCTGCCTGACCATGTCAAGGCCAGGAACAGGCTGCCTGACCATGTCAAGGCCAGGAACAGGCTGCCTGACCATGTCAAGGCCAGGAACAGGCTGCCTGACCATGTCAAGGCCAGGAACAGGCTGCCTGACCATGTCAAGGCCAGGAACAGGCTGCCTGACCATGTCAAGGCCAGGAACAGGCTGCCTGACCATGTCAAGGCCAGGAACAGGCTGCCTGACCATGTCAAGGCCAGGAACAGGCTGCCTGACCATGTCAAGGCCAGTCTCAGCTTATGCTGAGGCTGGCCTTGACTAAAAAGTGCTTACTGAATGAAGCTGCAGAAAAGGAGGAAAATAATTTCTTGTGTAACTAATATTCCTGTAACTGTTATATATTCAGATGACTTCTTTTTAATGCTCATGTAATTTATTCTCTATGTATTTGATTTACACTACTTTATTTCTGGAGTATTCATTGTCATGCATTTGATTTACACACTGTACTTTATTTGTAATGTTAATCATTATTGATTTCTTCTGTAAATAATAGTTATGCTGCAAAAAGTAGAGCATTACAAGGACCCCAATGGAAATAAGTCACTTTATTGTTTTTTTTTTTTTGGGGGGGGGGGATTACCTTATGGTAGATATGTGTAAACTACCTATTACTATATAAGACAATTACAATCATCCAAAAACTGTGCAAATTATGCCTAAATAAACTTACCTGGGAAGTACCAGTACCTGGGGAGGAAAAAGTGTGCCAGGGAAGAATTTTATTCAGAAAATAAGCACTAAACGCAGATGTATGAATGGCAAGAAGTGTTAATGCCAGGAAGTGCCAGAGATGTGTCTGTAGAGTGAATGGTGATTGTTAGTACCCAGAGTGCCAGGGAAGTGTCAGTACAAAGAGAATGTCAGGGAAATGCTAATATCTGGAGAGTACCAAGAAAGTGTCAGTACCTTGTGAGTGCCAGGAATGTGTTGATACCAGGAGTGTCATGGAAGCATTGGCCCCTGGAGTGCAAATGAAGTGTCAGTATCTGGAATGTCAGAATAGTGTAAGTACTTGGAAAGTGTGCCTGAGTAGTGTCAATACCTAGGGAGTACCAGGGAAGTCAGCACCTGGGAAGTGCCAAGAACAGTTTCAGTATCCCAAGAGTTCCAGGGAAGTGTTAGCATTTGGGGAGCACCAAGGAAGTTAGCACCTGGGAGTGTGGCAGGGAAATGTCAGTACCTGTGGGAGTGTGACAGGTAATTGTCCATACCTGGGTAGTGCCAGGTAAGTGTCAGTACCTAAGGACTGTGGCAGAGAAACATCAATACCCGGGGAGCGTGGCAGAGAAGTGTCAGTATGCAGGAAGTCTAAAAGGGAAGTATCAGAACCTGGGGTGTGGCAGGGTAGTGTCAGTACCTTGGGTGTAGCAAGATAGTGCCAGTAACACGAGTGTGGCTGGGAAGTGTGTATACCTGGGGTGTGGGGCCGAGGAGTGTCAGTATCAGGGGGAGTGTGGCAAGGGAGTGTTATTACCTGGGGAAGTGTGGCAGGGAAGAGTCTGTACCCAGGGGAGTTTGGCAAAGTGATGGCAGTACCTGGGGGTGTGGCAGGAGTGTGTCAGTACCTAGGGTGTGGCAAGGGAGTGTCAGTACCTGGGGAAGTATGGCAAGGAAGTGTCAGGGCCTGGGGAGGTGTGACAGGGGAGTGCAAGTACCTGGGAGGGAGTTAGGGAAGTATGAGTACCTGGGGAGTGTGGCAGGGAAGTGTCAGTACCTAGGGAAGTATGAACTGGGGAGTCAGTACCTGGGTAGTATGGCAGGGAAGTGCAAATACATGGGGGAGTGTGAGAGGGGAGTGTCTGTAGTTGGGTATGTGGCTGAGAAGTGTCAGTACCTTGGGAAGTATGAACTGGGGAGTCAGTACCTGGGTAGTATGGCAGGGAAGTGCAAATACATGGGGGAGTGTGAGAGGGGAATGTCTGTACTTGGGTATGTGGCGGAGAAGTGTCAGTGCTTGGGGGAATGTGGCAGGGTAGTGTCAGTACTTGGGGGAATGTGACAGGGAGGTGTCAGTACCTGGGAGTGTGCCAGGTGAATGTGAGAACTAGAAGTGTGGTAGGGATATATCAGTATCTGGAGGAAAGTGGCACTGAAGTGTCAGTACCTGGGGAGTGTGACAGAGAAGTGTCAGTATTTAGGGGATTGTAGAATTGAAATGTCAGTTCCTGGGGTAGTGTGGCAGGGAAGTGCCAGTATCTGGGGAGCATGGCAGGAGTGTCAGTACCTGGGGGTGTGGGGCAAGGGACTATCAGTACCTGAGGAAGTGTGACGGGTGTCAGTACATAAGCAGTGTGCCTGGGATCATTACCTAGAGGAGTGGGCAAGTTTCAGTACCTGGGAATATGGCATGGGTGTCAGTACCTGGGAGTGTGGCACAGGTCAGTACCTGAGGGAGTGTGGCACAGGTCAATACCTGAGGGAGTGTGGAAGGGAGGTTTCAGAACTTGGGGGTGTGGCATAGGTGTCAATACCTGAGGGAGTGTGGTAGGGAGGTTTCAGAACCTAGGGATGTGGCAGGGGTCAGTACCTAGGGTGTTGCATGGGGTGTCGGTATCTGAGGGTGTTGCAGGGGGGGCCAGTACCTGGGAGTGTATGGCAGGGGTATCAGTACCTAGGGGTGTGACAGGGGGTTTCAGTACCTGGGGAGTGTGACAGGGGCATCAGTACTTAGGGATGTGACAGGAGGGGGGTCTCAATACTTGAAGGTGTTGCAGAGGGGTGTCAGTACCTGGGGGGTGTTGCAGGGGGTGTCAGTACCTGGGGTGTGGCAGGGGGGCCTCAGTACCTGGGAGTGTGTGGCAGGGAAGTCAGTACCTGGGGAGTGTGGTAGGGGTCTATACCTGGGGGAGTGGCAGTGGGATGTCAATACCTGGGGAATATGGTATGGGGTGTCAGTACCCAGGAAAGTGTGGCAGAAGGTCAGCACCTGAGGGTCTGGCAGAGGTTTCAATACCTGGGAGCATGACAGGTGTGTCAATACCTGGGGTGTTGCAGGGGGTGTCAGTTCCTGGGGGGAATGTGGCAGGGGTATCAGTACCTGGGGTGTTGCAGGGGGAATCAGTTCCTGGGAGAATGTAGCAGGGGTATCAGTACCTGGGAATGTTGCAGGGGGTGTCACTTCCTGGGGGGAATGTGGCAGGGGTATCAGCACCTGGGGGTGTTGCAGGGTGTGTCAGTGCCTGGGAGTTTGTGGCAGGGGTTCAGTGGGAGTGTGGCAGGGGGTCATTACCTGGAGACTGTGGCAGGGGTTCTCAGTACCTGGGGAATGTTGCAGAGTGTCAGTACCTGGGTGAGTGTTGCAGGGGTGTCAGAACCTGGCATGTTGTAGGCTGTCAGTCCCTGGGGGTGTTGCATAGGGTGTCACTACCTGGGGGTGTTGCAGAGGGGTTAGTATTGGGGAAGTGTTGCAGGGGGGCCCGTACCTGGGGAGTGTTGCAAGGAGTGCCAGTATCTGGGGTGTTGCAGGGGGCCAGTACCTGGGAGTGTTGCAGGGGTCAATACCTAGGGAGTGCTGCAGGGGTCAGTACCTGGGAGTGTTGCAAGGAGTGCCAGTATCTGAGGGTGTGTTGCAGGGGGGCCAGTACCTGGAGTGTTGCAGGGGTCAGTCCCTGGGGTGTTGCAGAGATGTCAGTCCCTGGGGTATTGCATGGGGTGTCAGTACCTGGGGGGTTGCAGGGGGTTAGTATCTAGGGAGTTTGCAAGCGGTGCCAGTATCTGGGGTCAGTACCTGGGGTGTGCAGGGGTCAGTACCTGGGGTGTTGCAGGGGGGCAGTACCTGGGGTGTTGCAGGGGGTCAGTACCTGGGGTGTTGCAGGGGTCAGTACCTGGGTGTTGCAGGGGGTCAGTACCTGGGGGTGTTGCAAAGGATGTCAGTCCCTGGGGCGTTGCATGGGGTGTCAGTACCTGGGGGGTGTTGCAGGGGGATCAGTACCTGGGTAGTGCTGCAGGGGGTCAGTATCTGGGTAGTGCTGCAGGGGGTCAGTATCTGGGTAGTGCTGCAGGGGGTCAGTACCTGGGGATGTTGCAAGGGGTGCCAGTATCTGGGGGTGTTGCAGGGGGGCCCAGTACCTGGGGTGTTGCAGGGGGTCAGTATCTGGGGAGTGCTGCAAGGGTTGCCAGTATCTGGGGTGTTGCAAGGGTTGCCAGTATCTGGGGTGTTGCAAGGGGGCCAGTACCTGGGGAGTGTTACAGGGGTCAGTATCTGGGGTGTTGCAGGGACTCAGTACCTGGTGTGTTGCAGGGGGTCAGTACCTGGGGAGTGTTGCAAGGGGTCAGTACTTGGGGTCTCGAAGGGGGTGTCAGTACCTGGTGGGGTGATGCAGGGGGAGGGGGGATGTCAATACCTGATAAGTGTGGAAGGGGTGTCAGTAATTATGGGAGTATAGCATGGGTGTCTGCACCTGGGGGGTGTCAGTACCTGGGGTGTTGCAGGGAGGGGAGGGGTTGTTTAGTACCTGGGAAGTGTTGCAGAGGGTGTCAATATCTAGGGGTGTTGCAGGGGGGGTTGTCAGTACCTGGGGGTGCTGCAGGGGGTATCATTCCCTGGGGGTGTTGGGGTATGGATCTGAGTACCTGGGGATGGTGATACAGCGGGTGTTACAGTCCTCAGTGGTGACGGCGGTCTCTAGTTCGTCCAGACCACCAGACTTCTTGAGCTTCTTGACCAAGCTCTTCACTGCCTTCTCACTCCATTTATCCTCCACTTCCCCCTTCTTGAAGCTCAACAGTCTCTTTACTACAGGAGGGGTGAAGGGCAACATAGACATGTTTCAGCGAGACCTACACGGCCGCCGCTGCTCGGTGTCCGGCACAACACCAGCAGGATAGCGGCTCAGTGCCACAAAATACCAGTTTTTCAAGTATGATAACCGAGAGAGTGCCACAGGCCACAGCTATGGGGGTGCCACGGGGGGTGATCAAGAGGGGTGCCACGATCGTCACGGGTAAGCAAGAGGGTGCCAGGCTCTCCACGGGTACGCAAGGAGGTGCCAGGCTCGCCACGGATAAGCAAGGAGGTGCCAGGTTCGCTAGGGATGAGCAGAGGGGTGCCACGCTCGACACAGCTGACCGTCGTCTCACAACACATCAGGGGACGACATGTTTGGGCCGCGCTACCACCCTCTCAGACAGTACCTTTCCGCTAAAAACTAGTGCAAAGTCTACATCCTCCTAAATGGCTTCTCTCTTCATGTAATTACTCCACACCATTTCATTTACCCACGTGAGTATATTTGCTTGGTGTTACGAGGCGTGCGTAAATGCCTGCGTGCAGAGTGGACACCATTGTTTTGGTGTATCCTTCCGCGCTTCAACACATCGAAGTACAAAATATGTCATGCAACACTTGCCTCAGACTTTCTTTTATTGAAATTACTGCCTTCTCTAACAGTAACCGCTGTCTTATGTCCACTCTGCCGTTAGGAGATTAATTGAATCGCTTAACAGAGTGCTGTAATAGTGATGACAATCTATATATTGTGAAATAAAAGGCCAGATAAATAGAGGGGTGAATATTCCATTTTGTGTGAGCGATGGCTGTGGGTGATCAATATATAGCTATTGTGTGCTCCACAGCTGCTTAAATGGCGTTTACACCCATTGTCCTCCTCCTCCCTACCACGTCTGCTGCTCTGCTAATTCAGGCCTATCTCCAAGGCAGATTTTAGGCCTAAACCAACATAAGAAAACTTACACACAGTTCGGGTTTCTAAAGTGTTTGCGACAGAGAAACTGTCACGATTGTAATAAACTTTATGAATTTTCAGAGAAAATGTGTTATTAACTTAAAATAAATGTTCACAAGGCACAGATTATATACAGCATGTAATATGAACCAGGTAATTCAGAACCATTAATAATAGCCATCTTAATAATTATATTTTGTACATGGTTGAATTGTAATGTATATAAATGAAATCCCCAATATATAATATATATAATATATATATATATATATAATATATATTATATAAATATATATATATATATAATTATATATAACTTGTGTGTAGTTATTTGTGATTGCAGATGTCGAGCCTCAGCTCCTGACCCTGCCTCTTTATCTGGTTGTTACTGGGTTCACTTTCTCCTGACTTCAAGTGGTGATGGTAGTATTTTATTCGTCAAGAAACAGGACAAGTGTTTGTTGACTCTGGTCAGTTGTATGACTTGTTAACTGGAGCTTTTCGCCATATGACCGAGGCCTGTCACTGGCTTACCTGTCCACTCCGATATATATATTAAAAAAAAAAAAAAGTCATCTCTCATAAAGCTCCTATATAGTGCATTTTTTCATATATGCGAATGAATAAGGCATCCAAAATTGAATATCGTATGGAAAGGCCTTCATATTAGGCGGTATTCATTTTTTCTTGCACTTTTTTCAAACGTATTTAAGAAAAATAGCACTCTACAGAGGCGCTTGATAAGAGATCCATTAAATCATGCGAGTTTTAACATTTTTAAAAATGTGTATAGATCTTGTGTCTAAACTGCTTCAATATCCAGGTTATTCCTCTTCCTGAGGCTGAAGAAATACTTCATGACCTCCCTGTAACTCATCATTGTTGTCAGTAACCATCTGTGTCCTGGTGAACCTGCTTCCAGCTCTCTCTCTCCATGTCCATCTTGTCAATTCCGCTGAGTGTTTCGTAAGTCGTTATCTTGTCTCCTTTATTCTTTTTGTCTATTGTCATCAGATTTATCTCCTTTAGTCTCTCAAAATACTTCATATCTCTTAGGCTGTATAGCCTTTGTGGCTTAGCGTTTCTTTTTGATTATAATAATCATATATCTTAGCTTTGTGGGTTGTGTGTGTGTGTGGTGTGTGTGTGTGTGGGGTGTGTGTGTGTGTGTGTGTGTTGTGTGTGTGTGTGGTGTTTTGTGTGTGTGTGTGTGGTGTAGTGCGAAGAGGAGTCGCAATACTGTAGTTGGAACAATTCACAGATAAGTTATATCTTAAAGACGCAGCTGAACTACGATACGGTCCTTCTCTACTTGATGATCCAGGACAGACCGAAGCTTCGTCTAACTTCCTCTATATTTAAAAAGTGGGTTGTTGTCTACTAACTGCTCAGTGATGCTAGGAACCACACCTCTAAGAAATAAAACTTTTTCAAGAAAAAAATTCTCTCGCTGAGGTCGTCTACGTTCTCTTCACGTACTACCCGTTTTTATATTCTTTTAAATAATATTAGTACAAGTTTGTATGCAGTACATTATCATCCTAAAACAGATTATAAATCTCCTCTGGCTTTTCTGGATCGCCACAATGAGACACTAGAACGTGAAGGTACCAGCAGTCTTGGGCCTTCACTTGGGATCCATGCTCCAATTCCCTGAATGCCTTCCATCATTTCTTCACAGGATCTGTATAATATTTACCGGTTTAGCGCTCCCAATAATAATAATAAGCCTTCAGTATTCGATAAGCCGCTTGAAACCCAGTTCATTGAGGAAGCCAGCAGTAACAGCCTGGTTGATCACACCCTGATCCACCACGAGGCCTGGTCATGGACTGGGCCGCGGGGGCGTTAACCCCCGGAACACCCTCCAGGTATACTCCAGGTAAGCCTGCAGCACTCTTGCTTTTGGTTCAAAGGATCTCCGATCCTACCGGGACAAATCGGTACTGGTCACCCAGGTCTCCCCCGTGTTGAGCTTGGCTCCCCTGTGATAAGCAGTATATTATTATAATCAAAAAGAAGCGCTAAGCCACAAGGGCTATACAGCGATAAGCAGTATAGCTCTACCCTCCCCCCGTCAGGGAATTGGATCTGTGTTCCAATTCTTTGAATTAAGCCTGAATGCCTTCCCCCCTCCGTTCCCTTACAGGCGCTGTATAATCCCTACGGGTTTAGTGATCCCCATGATAATAGCTTTATTGGCCAATATTAAAACAGACACAGTTGTTAAAGTACACACACACATACGCACGCGCGCACGCACGAAAGACGAGACTGGCGGATTGCATCATCTTGAGCTGCAGGAAACCATTTGACACCTTACCACTCCAGAGATTAGTCTATAAATTAGAGGAACAGGCAATGTTAACAGGCAGTGCTCCAGTGGGCCAGGGAGTACCTGAATGTAAGAAGGCAGAGAGCAACAGAAAAGGATGGGACTCTGGAAGAGAATAGAGCAGCGAGTTGGGTTTCTCGGGGATCAGTACGAGGACGGGATTGAGTGCCATGTGTTAAACTAATGGGGAGGATAAGGACAGGAGAGAGCAGTAATAACCTCCAGAGAGACTTCAACAGACTAGAGATGTGGTTAAACAAGTGGCTTCTCGAATTCAACCTGAATAAATGCAAACTGGAGGTGAGAGGAGACCGAAAACAGTACAACATAGGCGGAAAAAAAAGCTAAAAATATTAGTGTATAGGACCTGGGGTGAATGTAACGCCAAACATATCGCCGAAATATACACAAACTGTATAACATCAGTGACGTATATAAGGTGTGCAAACCTTAGAATAGCATTCAGGAACTTGAATAAATATAACCTTATATACGACATAGGTCAATCATCGAGGACGCGGCTCCAGCATGTAGCCCTCACTGGGTCAAGAGCTTGAAAAAAACTCGCAAGAGTCCAAAAGTCTGAAACAAAGCTAACCCTAAAGGGAGGTTCTTTAAAGCTGGTGAGGGGCTCTTGATCTACGGAATTGGATCTGTACTTAAATTCCCTGAATTAAGCTCGAATGTCTTCCATCCCTCTCTACTCTCACTATAATCCCTACAGGTTTAGCGCTTCCCATAATAATAAGGAAAAAGGCTAGTACCAGAACTAAAAGGAATGCTTTCTAAAGGAATGAGTTGTGTAACTTTTCTTGGTTTAGCTCTTAAATTGATTAATAATAAATAACGAATAAAGTGAATGTGACAGCCTTAGAGGAAAGACAGACATGACTAGTGAGCATAAATCTTAGGAGGAATTGATAGAGCTGATAAGAACAAAATGTTTAAATCAAGAGGATCAGGATCCAGGGAACACAGGTGGAAGATGAAATGTAGATGAGCCACGGGGGATCTTAGGAATTATTTCTATAGTCTCAGCGTGGTTGAGAGTGGAATGACTTGGACGAGTCGGTGGTGGAGCTAGACTCACCAGTTTCAAGTACAGAAATAAGGCCCAAGAGGCCAGAAGTCAGATGCTGATCAAAGCGGTCCAGGAGCTAGGTCTTGATCCCGCAAACACAAGTTAGTGAGTGCACATATACATACATATACAGTTCAAGTGCCTATCGACAAGTGCCTTTGACTGATAACTAACTGGGTAACAGAAGGGCACTATACGGTCACAATAAACAAGCGACACTACTGCACAGTAACTACAGTGAAAGACAATTAAAATTCCTTGCTCATTCGTGATCTATCACCCACATTCTCGAGGAACATTCAAAGAATAAGTGAATGATTACCAGGTGATCAACACACAGGATGGCTTGTGAACCTACATCATCCTGAATACTGATGACTGTATAACATCATCAGTACACGAACTGAAGGATTTTCATCCTTACACACTATTCCTTACGCTGCAGTAACAAATTATTTCCCATCCTCCGTATGGCCCATACGGGCTTAGCTCTTCCCTACGAGTGTGATAACTGAGTTTCAGTCGATGCACAATCTGAGAGAAGGTATCCAGGTAGCCTATAAGCCCAGCCTCCTCTACCTCACTGCACGCAAAAGGAATAATACAGAGCGAGGCATAAGTTTATAATGTACTTAAATAATAGCATTGACAATATGGCAAGGAATCTAGTATTCAAATTTTCGAACATAATGGCTAGTTAGCACTTACACAACCCACACAAATTCGAACCTTCCACAATACTAGACACTCACTACCTTCCAAAGTTTAAAACCTATGAAAAAAAAGGCTCTGTACGACCCTTGTGGGTTTAGCACTTAATTATGATTGTAATAATTATAATAAAATAAGAAGCACGCTTAACCAGCACACTCAACTTTTGAGAAGCCGCTCAAAAGTTGTGTTCTTAAGGTATCAGCGTTGAAGGTTTGAAGTCAGTCTGTTAGCCAGTCACAGAGCAAAAAAAGCATTTCGGTTTTCATAAATTCCTCCATAAAATTACCAAAAACACTGCTGAAAATTATTTTTTTTATAGACTCGGATGTGTCCTACTTAAAGTGTAAGTGTGAAGCCGATCAGAAGATGCATTCTATAGTTATTGCATGGAAACCAATTTAACAAAATTAGTAACTTGTAGTTCACACAACCCAAAATCACTGTGAAGTTTACTATGACGATAACAAGTGTTAAAAGTCTGAAGCCG